TGTGCATAAACCTTATTACGCAAATCTACCTGAATACGCAAATTAACTAGGCTTGCAATTCAGGTAGTGCACATAATTGCTGCAGCGAAGGTGACTTAAACATAAGAGTCATCAGGGGACCTACACCAGCGATGGTGACTACTGTCATACTCCTCCTTCTAATAAGTGAATAATTGTTACAACAAGATTCTATTCAATAGATAAATGTTATCACAAAATTCAGAAATAAATAAGAGAGCCCTTCCTTAGAGGGGAATCACATGTATAAAATAGTCATAATATGGCCTAATAAATATTTAAAGTTTACAGTAAACTATTGCAAGGATCAAAAAAAGTCAGAACTAAGCGACTGATTTTATTAAAAAGATTAAGTGCTTTTTTAGGCCATATTACTACAGAAGGTTTGCTATAAAGACAGGTTACCAGAGACAAAAGGCAACACCAAAAGTAAATGCTCCCAACAACAAAATATTATAAGTGAGAAGCAAGAGAAACTATAAGAATAAAGATATAAAGTGTAGGTAACACATGTTTATAGTACAATACATTTATCAACCAATGATTGAGGTGCATTTTATTTGATTGTTTTATAGTGTATAGTATATACTATAAATGCATTGTTACACTAGTAAAGGACACGATGCAACATACAATGATCAGCTATAACATTAGAACCACCAATCATTACATTACAAACCTGTCAAGAGGTGGGATATTTTAGGCAGCAAGTGAACAGTCAGTTCTTGAATTTCATGAGTTGGAATCAAGAAAAATGGGCGAGTGAAGAGACCTGAGTGACTTTGGCAAGCACCAAATAGTGATAACTAGATGGCTGGGTCAGAGCATCTACAAAATGTCAAGTCTTGTAGGGTGTACCTAGTAAGCAATGGTTAGTACCGACCAAAAGTAGTGAAAGGACAACAGGTAAAATGGTGATAGGGTCATGGGCACCCAAGGCTGATTGATGCACATGGGGAATAAAAGCTATTCTAGTCCGATCACACAGAATAAGAGCTACTGTAGCTCAAATTGCTTAAAAAAGTAATGCTGGCCATGACAGAAAGGTGTCATAACACACAGTGCTTTGAAGTTTGCTACAAAGTTGGCCGTGCACCTGTCCAATGCCAACCTAAAGCCTATCAGGGCTGTATCTTTGTAACTGCATTGCAGGTTTCACTTATATATTTCTTTCAACTTTTAACACATTGGACAATTCTTGTTCTAAAAGAGCCATGGGATAAACCCTTCTTTGGAATCTTTCTTTAATGTCAATTAACTGTGAAGTAAGCTCATATGGATGAGATATAATCCTCCTCACTCTCAACATCTGACTTCTAAGAAGAATTTTTACTCTTGATGGAGGATGAAAATCATAATTCAAAGCAGTGGTCTTATCATCATCTGGTTTACGATACAATTTCATACGAATCAGATTTCCATCCTTTTCTACCATAATATCCCAAAAATTTACTTTCAGAAAACTATATCCTTTAGTAAAGCTAATAGGTTTAGAACAGTAATTCAATTAAGAAATTGAAAACAAAATACTCAAGGGATTCCAAGGTGTTACCCCACACCATTATGTCATCAATATATATCCAAAGTTTTACATACTATTGGAATAAATGCTTTGATAAATTACTTCTTCTTTCAAGTTAGCTACACTGGCGTATGTGGGTGCCACATTGTCCCCTTTAGTTAAAGGTAAAAGTCACTGTGAAAAAGAAAGAAATTCTCATCTAGGATATTAAAAAAAAAAAAGTCTAAGGTTTTGCCTGTATAGACAATTTTTTTTTAAAGTTGTTTTTATTATTTTTACATTTTTTATATTCTTTATTTTTCTTATGCTCAAATAAAAAACAGCCTCAGAACGCCACAACAGCATTACCAAGGTATTCAGGAATGCAGGTTCATACAAAAGGTGACATTTGATTTTTTGGCACAATATTTAAGGTGGTATAAAACAGTCATAAAGCAGGTTAGGCACAAGAATACAACTCCAACTTAAGGACAAAGGAAAAACATGCTTAGTGCCTGTTATGAGAGATGTGGTTCCACCTTGAGGGGCTCTGTGTAGTAGGAGTTCAGATCATTTAGAGTAGTTGGAGACATGCAATATACAGCTTAAGAGATGGTATGCATTATTGAGGGGATGTATCAGGGCTTCCTGTCTCTCAACCTATGCCCATCGGCGGCAGGGCACAGTCCCATCTAGTGGTGCTGGTCAACCAGGCAGGCATTGTGAAAGCGGGCAAGATTGCATTTTGTTGGTAAGTCAAACAATGCATGGTAATGTGCTGTCCGCTTCGCAGGTCAGCCCATTCGGGAGACCCCTGACTGGGCTTGGATATGCCCCTCCACAGCCTTTGTCTATGTGCCACTTTTGTCCAGCGCTGCTGATGCTGTCTATGCCACCTGAGGCAGGCCTCCATAGAGCCAGTAGCAGTGTGACGTTCATGGGTTTTTCGGTGTGCCTGTGTGGGTAATTTTGAGGGAGGGACATGTGTGGCTGGCAGAAAGTACCTATTATGCAATTTCAGCCAAAATGCTTCAAAGAGGCTGTCCAGCCGGAGTAGCACTCTGGACCTCTTCTCTGGTGTAGCTGGGAGCATGCCGGCTACGCCATTCATGACTGTAGCTTGTGTCTCGGCAGTACCACAAGTCTCCCACAGAGATGAGGAGCTCTCCAGGTGGGGACCAGGATAACCCCCACTGAGCCAAAGGTGGGGGGGAATGGGGCAGCATAGAAAGTTTCATCTTGAGGCTACTCTACATGTAACAGGAGTGTGGCTGCCTCTCCTGTCCAGAGGTCTCACTAGGCCTCACCTGGCTCCTCGAGGAAAAACAAGCAGTAGCCACTTTGTGGACCCTTCCCAAGGTACACAATGTGTGGCAGAATTCAGATAGGTTCCAGAGGGTGCTTGGGGACAGCACCCGAAGACTGTATTTTGCAGGGTATTGTAATTAGCGGAGGAGCACTTGCACAATGCATCCAATCTCCATAATAATCAGGCCCAGGCCCTTTTTTTTTTATTCTTTATTTTTGCAGTGCATTGAACAGTACTTTGTGGAATAGAGGTTCCGATACATAACATAGTATGGGTAGAAATCATTGAGTAACTGCACCAATTTTAAATTTTATACCTGCTGTGAACATGGACGTAGGTCCTGCTGTAGATGATAGAGCTCGTCTTGTGTGTTTATAGGTGTAGGTCGCCTATTCGGTCCTAGAACCCCTGACCCGTGTGCTGGGGGGCTAAATAGAAACTAGTATGTCAGTGGTTACAGCACATGTGAGTTTAAACTTCAAGGTTTTTTTTAATAGCTGCAATGCTTCCTTTTGCTCAATGGATGCATCAAAACTGGAAATCTCAAGAGAGACAAGAATATCATCATCAATTAATTTAGCATTTGATAATTTTCAAGATGTCAAAGGTATATTCTATGTGCAACCTAATACCATTTAAAGCAGATATAAGTATCTGCTAAAAGGTATTTCGCTAATAGGGTATTTCGCTAATAGGGAAAATAAAGAGTCAATACATGCAACTATTGTTCGACCTGGTGGTTGACCCAATGACTTATGAACCTTGGTAAGGATCTTTCTTTGATTTACTCACTTTTGTACAGTACCACAAGAGCACCCTCTTATCTCCTGGGTTCATGTGCGTCTTTGTTAAGTAAGTATGAAATTGCTTGAAACTCAACTTTACCTAAGTTAGGAGGCATCTTGTTGCCAGAACCAGAGAACATAAAAGTATTTATATCTTTCTGTACTAGATTTATGTATGTTTCAAGAGCATGCTCATTAAAACCAAATGTAAAACTACTCATATTTGTCGGGGAAGTGCCTTTCCATCTTAAACATGTGCTGTTCTCATTATCATTAGAGTTGAGCGGACACCTGGATGTTAGGGTCCGGCGGGTTCGGCCGAACTTTGAAAAAATGTCTGGATTCGTGATCGAACTTGACCCTGAACTTGACCATGAACCCAAACCCCATTGAAGTCAATGGGGACCCGAACTTTTGGGCACAAAAATGCCTCTAAAAAAGTCCTGGAAAGGGCTAGACGGCTGCAAAAGGAAGTAAAATGTGGATAGGGAAATCACTTAAAATAACATAAAAATACAGCTGAGCCATAAAATAGCACTAGATGGAATCTTTGATTTTAGCTTTGGAAGAACATAAATCAAAATCTAAAGCATGGCTGTCAGGAGGATCACCAGAATTATCCATTTGAGAGAGGATTGGAGTGCTTTCATTGTTCAAACTGAGCTCAACTCCTGATACATGGAGAAAAGGCCTTCACAAGCCTCTGCTATTGTATACATAGTTTATACTAAGTGACCCATAGGTTGATTAGACGGTGACCGTGGCGGTGTAGGTGGAAGCAGCGGTGGAGTAGGTAGCCAACACTGAGAGATTATATATTTAAATATATTTAAATTGGGGTAGCCCCCAAAATATTGGGACATATAAAAAAAACTAAAAAAAAAAACTGTTCCGCAGAGCGCCTGACCCGTGCGTGCTGCATCTGAAACTCTACTATTGCCTGCTGCGGCTCGCACAGTCTCATGAGGCGGTGAGCGGGAAGGCCGAAGTTACGCTGCAACGCAGACAGGCGAGCAGCAGCAGGGTGAGAACGCCAAAAGCGCACACAGAAGGCCCGTACTTTCTGCAGCAGCTCTGATATATCTGAGTATACACTGTGGCATCACAAGGGCCACCCAGAACTGGCTCAACTCCCATCAAGCCAAGTTCCTGGAGGAGATCACGCAGCTCGTCATGCTAGAGCACTTTTTCAATGTGCTCCCCAACGAGAAGGTGACAACGCATTCGTATGTCAATCCATATCAACTTTCGATGCCATTGACTGCACCTACCATGGGGAATCAGGGTTCAATTCCATACATGGACCCTGACAAACGGCTGCAACATGCAAGGAAGGCAGCAGGCACGCAAATGACCCACTCCCGATGCGGGAAGGTAGTGATGACAAATAACAATACAGGACTCTTTAGAGTCCCTGTAATTGTAATTAGTCCACTTTAAATCCTTTAACTCTGATCAATTGGAGGGAAAGTCTGGTGCAGAGCCAATGACCCGTGCATGCTGCAGCTGAAACTCCACTATTGCCTGCTGCTGCTCAAACAGTGTCTCCAGCATGTGCAAGGTGGAGTTCCACCTTGTGTGCACGTCGCATATGAGGTTGTGAGCGGGAAGGCCAAAGTTACACTGCAGCACAGACAGGCAAGCAGCAGTAGGGTGAGAACGCCGAAAGCACGCACAGCCTCTACAGTGAATGTCACATCCTGTTTCAAGTTGCGGATCAGTCTGGTGATGGCTTCTGGTATCCAGTACTCTTTTTACTGAAGCTGCATCAGGGTCTAGGTATGTGGCCGCACAAACGCTGGTGCTCAACACCAGGGGGCGTGCGGTTACCCTGCACCAGACCCTGCTAATCCATTCCACACTGTGACTCCTATCTTCTACATCAGGCATACTGGGTCCCGGTTGTCCAACCGCCGCCCAGACAGTGTCTGGGTCCCGGTCACCGGACTGCGAAACTGCGAATGGCTCGTTAAATCTGTTATGGTTCTTTTTATTGCTTCAACTGTTACTTGGATAACTGTGGGAATTCTAAAGATAATACATGCCGATGAGCGCTAGGGGACAGCCGCTCTGCTTTTGCACCCTGCTCCCTCTTATGCTGTGCTGGTGCCTCTGTGCGACCAGCGTCTCTTCCTCCAAACTGCACACGTCACTCGCATGACCTTGATTCCATGTGGGGTCTAGAACCTCATCATTCTCCACATCATCTTCCACCCACTCCTGAAACCTGCCCTCCATGCCGGTATGCACACTACAGAAAGCCACAGCAGTTGGCACCTGTGTTTTTCCAGCATGTAAAGTCTGCAAAGGACATATGGAAATTGTTTTAGAATTGTATCCAGGCAACAGTTTTCCCTATAAACTGACCTCTCAGTTTGACTTGTGAGGGTATTGCCCCAGAATTACAATATTGTTTAAGTACCTCTTAGCTATTGATAACTGGTTTAAATATAGCAGCTTGTTATCTGGTAGTTTCTAGTGTAGAAAATATCAATCTGTTTTCTATCACTTAGATCTGTGTAACAAGTGTTGTAGGTGTGAAACAATATTACAAGTGACCAATGTAGTAAATTCGAATCAAAGTTCCATTATTGTATCACACTAGCCATGCACAGGATAGATTGTCTTGCACGTTGTTTTGGTGTTTGGTTTTTAAATTTGTAGTTGTGTCATTGCACAATATAGAAATGTATATTAATGCTTCTGTATATGAAGCAATCACAATAACACTTATTTTTCACTTTAAAAAAAAATAAAAAATCAGGCCAAACAAAAATTGGTAATTAACAATATGACATCTGAAAAGCAAGAATGCTGTATGATTTAAAAAAACAAACAAAAAAAAAACAGTACATGAAGGTCCTGTTCACTAGAGTGTGTAGTCATGAATGTAACCAGTAAAACTTTGTTTTTACAGCCACTGGTTGACCCATACATATTTTAAATCTTGTTTAATTTTGTTATAGCATGACTTATAGTCTTGTTTTTAACTTAATAATACATATTTTTGTATGACACTTAGTGTGTTTTTTCATTGATTATTGAATTTTAATGGTCTAAGATAATTAACATGTCAACAGGCAAACGTAACCCAAATGATTTGTCTCAGTCTTGCCTTCTATACTACCTGCACCATAGGCAACATTTGTTTGTCTGTAGACTTTCTTGAGAAGCGGTCACTAGCCAGTGTTGCACACATACACCAGATATGAAGTGCACACCCCAAATGTACTATTTAGAACCAAGAAAATAAGAAATTTTACAACTGTACTGTAAGCGCACTATTAGGCGCTTTGATTTGACTCTCAGATATGAAGAGCAGGCCCCAAAATGTACTATTTAGCAGATTAACACCCAGAAAATAAGAATTTTTACAACTGTGCTGTAAGCGCACTATTAGACGCTTCAATTTGACTCTCGGATATGAAGAGCAGGCCCCACAATGTACTATTTAGCAGATTAGCAGGAAAACAATTAGAATGTTTACAACTGCGCTTGTATGTACGTAGTGGGTTATTACGAAGCAACATAAACATAACTAACCCCATTCAACCCCCCCAATAACGACAGACAACTTAGTATGGATGAACAGACCACAGCATTTATTATAACAAATAAATTACTGCATAACACATCCATAACTTTATTTATTAAAACACTTTTTTTCTGTAACCATATTGTTAGAAACAATCATAAATTAACATATATACATATATAACTCAACACATAGTGTTATACAGTGACCTAACCGTCCTTGCCAATAAACATACAGTGTTTCCTAATCACCACTTCCTTTCACCTCCCCCCTCGTCATAAATCATATCCTTCCAGTGCCCGCCATCAGCGGACCTTATCCACGCTCGATGGGCACAACACCTCAGGCAACCTAATGTTAACCTTTTGAAGCAGGGGAGGTTGAGACCTGCAAACATAATGAAACTTACTCCATCCTTAAACATAACCCCTCAAACTGAATTGGCAAGGACATACCCCCGGCTCGCTGTGACTAACTAATACTACAAGGGGTGGGCGGGAAGCTGTTTGCTGGCCCGAATCCCATGTGGCACTGAGGTAAGACCTCCCCCCTACTAGCTCACATAGCCCTAACCCCACCCACACACACACACAACTTCCCAAGACACTCCCACGCATCTATCCCCACACTCCTACATGTGCCCTTGTCCCGCTTAGCTGCGCTATCTCCCCAGGGCCTGTAAGCACACTATTTGACACTTTTATTTGACTCTCAGATATGAAGAGCAGGGCCCAAAATGTACTATTTAGCAGCAAAACAATTAGAATGTTTACAACTGCGCTGTAAGCGCACTATTAGATGCTTCGATGGTGGGGTATGATTGTATGTCAGCCATGAGTTAAAGTCAAATCTTAGGCATGTGGAGTGTGACGAGGAAAATGTGGAAGCTTTATGGGTAGATATCTGCTTGGGGCAAACAAAGGGAAATAAATTATTGGTTGGGATATGTTATAAACCACCAAATGTAAATATTAATGAGGAAGAACTGCTGTTAGAGCAAATTGGGAAAGCTGCAAATCGGGGTAACACGTTAATTATTGGAGATTTTAATTACCTGCACATAAATTGGGATAGAGGGACTAGTACTTCAGCAAGGGAAATCCAGTTTTTGAATGTGTTAAATGACACCTTTATGAGAAAATAAGGGTTTGGCTGCACTCACCTACACATAAATTAGGGTGCTGCTGGGGGCCAATAAGTACAGTACTGTAAATTGTTCAGCATTAAAATGACTGTTTAGTAGATAAGCGAGTGTGCTGGATTTTCATTTTTACTGTACTTATTGGCCCCCAGCAGCACCCTAATTTAGCATGTGTAGGTGAGTTCAGCCAAACCCTTATTTTCTCATATATGTATATATTTAGGAGTCTAACCAGCTCCATGGGTTTTGCACCCCTCTCTGTTACAGGTGCCTCATCTCAGGATCGTATTTAAGCATTGTACTTCAGAGACCTCGAGATGGAAGGATTTCCCCAAGTGAGAAGCTCATTTAGCAGACAGAGTAGGACCTGCCAAAGATGGGGTACATTGGCGTTGTGGCAGGCTTATGCAATTTATGATCATACTGTATCTAAACCCCCATTATATTTTTTGCCTAGATTAGGTGTTTTTAATAAAACTGTAAATTGTTCAGCATTAAAATGACAGTTTAGTAGATAAGCTAGTGCGCTGGATTTTCATTTTTAAATGACACCTTTATGTCACAACTGGTACAAGCACCAACTAGAAAGGATGCTTGTCTGGATCTCGTTATAACAAACAATGTTGATCTTTTAACCAACATTCAAGTAGGGGAGCATTTGGGAAATAGTGATCACAATATGGTAACTTTTGAAATAAACTCAAAAAAGCAAAAGCACGTGGGGTATATTAAAACATATGATTTTAAGAAAGCCAATTTTAATAAGATTAGGGCAGCTCTACATATCGACTGGCATAAACTCCTTAGTGATAAAAACACTGAGGGAAAATGGAAACTATTCAAACAAATATTAGAAAGGTACATTTCTCAGTATGTACCATTGGGTAATAAATATATATAAAAAACAAATTAAAACCAATGTGGCTTAGTAGGTACACTGAAAACAGAGATGGGTCTGTTAGTTAATGAAGACCAGGAAAAGGCAGAAATTTTAAATAACTATTTTTCTTCAGTATTAATGAGGATCCTATGGCAAGGGATAAGCAAATTATTGCTGCAACGAACTTGCAGATAACTTGTGATTGGATAACTCGAGACAAAGTGCTACAGCTATTAAAGAAAATGAATGTAAATAAAGCTCCGGGGCCTGACGGTATCCACCCACGAGTACTTAAGGAGCTAAGTGGGCAAATAAGTGAACCTCTGTATTTAATATTTCAAGATTCTTTTGTTTCAGGTATTGTACCGGAGGATTGGAGGAAGGCAGATGTCGTTCCTATATTTTAAAAGGGTTCAAAATCCTTGCCTGGAAATTATAGACCTGTGAGCTTAATTTCTGTGACAGGGAAATTATTTGAACGGCTATTAAGGGATAATATTAAGGAATTCATTGGGAAGAACTGTGTTATTAGCAATAATCAGCATGGTTTTATGAAACATTGTTCATGTCAAACTAACCTAATTGCATTCTACGAAGAAGTAAGTAGAAGTATAGATCACGGTGTTGCAGTGGATGTGATCTAGTTGGATTTTGCCAAGGCATTTGATATGGTTCCTCACAATAGGTTAGTCTTCAAACTAAAAGAAATTGGTCAAGATGAATATTCTTGTTCTTGGGTAGAACATTGGCTTAAGGATAGAATACAATGAGTTGTCATAAATGGTAAATTTTCAAGCTGGACAAAAGTGGTAAGTGGTGTCCCTCAGGGTTCTGTTTTGGGACCACTTCTATTTAACATATTTATAAATGATCTTGAAATGGACATTGAAAGCCATGTATCAGTGTTTGCAGATGACACAAAACTTTGTAA